TTTCTGTTCAGAAAAAAGTGGCTTAGAAACAATTTCCTATAAAAAAACTTAAAATAACGAGAGATAAATTTTCTTCAGACCCATGTCTACATGCATTTGTTTACAAGTGTTTATAGAAAAAATAAATTATTCTTTACAAGCACTTATTATAATGAGACTAATTCCTAAGCGTAAGTATTTACGTGAGAAAAACTGAAATGTACATTTTCAAGCAGTAACTTGTAAATGAAGTGAGAGTAACTGTAACTTTTGGATATAACTTAGGGATGGGAACGCAGATATTTGTCAATATCGCATCTGCTGCTAGTGGATTTGTTATTATTGCATCCTTATTAGTCGTTGGTATACTATTTCAAGATATTAATAGCTTCTATTATGAAGTTATGGATGATATGCACGACTTTAAGGTTTACTTCAATTCGATTAATTTACACAAAACTAATGACATGACTTAAACAGAAGCGTTTCTTTTATTTTACACTCTCGTAAGTAAGTATTATTATCCTTGGCCTCGTCCAGTAATTTAAGTTTAACAAAGGTAAAAATCTTTGTATGCTGGATTATGTAATGAAAATATTGAGCAAAAAGTTACATTGAAGGGGGAATAAAATTTTTCTCTATAAAAGAATGACTGACTAATGTTGTGATATTATAGATCATAGCTAATGATGCGTGGGCTGAGATAATGAGCTTTCATGATGCCCGTAAACCAATTAACGCTAGAAAGGAGTCATTTACTCGTATAATTGGGCTCAAGTCCCGTGATAAACGTGAAGCTATCTGCGGTAAGCTTGTTAATAGTAATAAAGAAAAGATTTGGAGATATTCTTTATTAAAATATAGAACAAATGAAATTAAAACGGTTATAAGATTTTCCCTGATTTAAAATTCCAATAAGAATTCAATTGCATCTTTCCTCAAAAAAGAAATTTTCAATTCCTACTAACAAATAAAATGGACATAATTTCAGCATGTGCAGTCCAAGCTGCAAATTGTCCACCAGGTCCTCCAGGACCTCAAGGAAACCGTGGTCTTCCAGGAGGTGGATTCTTCGAAATTTTTTTTTTGAATATCAAAAATAAAACGGTTTATTCATACTTTCGGTGTTATCAGCTTGAGAAGACATAGCAAGGTGGAACATTTCAGAACCAGGATTACCTGGTGTTGACGGTAAACCTGGACCAGATGGCATTGGTGTTACAATTGAAAAGAGTAGTCGAGGTGGTTGTATTGTATGCCCTGCTGGACCACCAGGGCCACCGGGTCTGCCAGGACCCATGGGATTACCTGGACCTAGTGCTACGTCGATACAAGCGCCAACTAGTATGGCAGGACCACCGGGTCCTCCTGGACCACCTGGTGACGCTGGACCTCAAGGTTGACATACTCTTAAGTCCGAAATTTACTAGATAAAATTCATTACTGTTAATAAGGAGACGTTTCAGGTCCACCAGGCCCACCAGGTTTAGCTGGACAACCAGGGACACCAGGAACAGCTGCAGTTGGTGGTGGTCGAGGTGTCAAAGGAAAACCTGGGCCACCTGGACCTCCGGGAGAGGCCGGTATACCAGGAGAACCTGCTTTACCTGGTCCAGCGGGTCCACCTGGGCCTCCTGGGCCACCTGGACAATCTGGAACACCTGGTGCACGTGGCCAGCCTGGATTGGTAAGTTTCTATTTCCACTCATAGAAAATTAACATCGATTTTTGATCTCCTTTAATCTGGAACATGAATTCAGCCTGGAAGTGCCGGTTTGCCTGGTGGTGATGCTGCATATTGTCCGTGCCCACCGCGGTCGTCCATAACGCTTAGCATAGAGGCACCGAAGCGAGTAATTCACGATAATTCTTACAACAAAAGACGACTTTCTCGTGTAAAGAAAGTCAGAATATCTGCATAAAAAGTTCGGTAATGTAGAGCAAAGGTTGTCAGTGAAACTGGAATATAAGCACCAATAGTTTTTTCAGCCCCAATGAAAACAAATCAATTTACTATTTTTTCTTGCTTATAATGATATTTTAACCAAGAAGCATTATGTAGAAGCACTCATATCATTGCAAAAGGAAGTAAGAACCAATAAACGATTTGATCTAAATGCACTCGTTATACAACGAACATTAAAAATTCGCTCTGAATATTGCTGGTGCAGATGGACATATCGCCATTCTTCAAAGAGTCAGATCCAAAATCTTTGCTATCATACAATGAAGCAATTAATCTGAACATGTATAAAACAAATCCTATTCCAAACGGAAATTTAAAAAACAGTTAAGACTGGTTGAGTAATATTCAAGATTATACTATTTCAATCTAGAACGGATGATTCATGGCTTATATACCTAGTACCAATTTTTGACTTAGTTCACTTCGAAATGGGCTAATAATCCTTAAAGCGTTTTTATTTTGTATCTACACTTAAATAATTCAAACAATATACAGATTTGATATCACTTCATATTTTTACCATAAAAAGAGATATTCATACTGAGATTTTGATGAAAAGTAATGCTGGGAGCAAAAAGAAAGCAAATCATTGTAAATTGTGATTAAATTAAATCTTTCCTTTTTCTACCAACTAATCTGTATCACTAATACTGATATTTTACATTTAGTGCAGATTTGTATTTTTTTGCTCGTTTAAAATTAAAATGAAACTATAATCACAATGTCAACTTCAAGTCTCATAAAAACCAGATTAAATATTTTTCACTAAAAATGATCCAAAATAAAATTCTAGTTCAGCCTTCTCAAATCAACACTGAATTTTTATTCAGTTCAATCGAGCGATACGTAACCCTTGAAGTATTTTTCATTTTGTAAAGGTTCTTTGCCAATTTTTCTATTTATTTACATAATTTGTCAGGATAAAATCTTGAGTGCTGCAAAAAAGTGGCAAAAAAATGTTTAGAAGAGTAATTTAATAAAAGAATAATTTAATCATTTAGTGACAGTAAGTCTGTAAGTAGTGATTCAAATTTTTTTATTTCAGTAGTTTCACACTTATTTTTTCAATTAATGTGCCATTTATCCAATAACTTGTTCATCAGTTAGCAAAATTCGGTCCTCATGTTTAGCACCTTTATAATCTGAAAATAATTCCATTTATGCTTATCAAACTGTAAAGTTATTCAAATGATAAGTCATTTTTAGATAAAAAATAACTATTTTAAAATGATAAAAACTTATCATCTCTCACAATTCTTCATTAAACATCGAGGGATCAAATATATGCAAGGGTAACAGCTACTCTCAACCAAAAACACCTTTTAACGTGATGAAAAAAATTAACTTATTTGAAGTATAAAAAATTTTTTGCTCATTATAGTTTTGATTTAGAACAATCAGTAATTATACATTTTTTTCGGCCATGCAGAGGACAATTCCGATCAATTTTGCGAGGTGGGCTTTCAAACTGGAACTGCTGACCAGAGATCATTGGTTGCATCTGCTGTGGTGCCGCTATGATAACATCTCTCTCAGCTAACTGAAAAATATAGTTGCTATTTTAACTTGATTCTTAAGAGAAATCATGACAGTTAAAAAAAACTAAGATCAAATTTTGGATAGCAAAAATCACTTTATTATGTACAATGCGTTTATCATTAAGCATTCCATTAGTCGTATTTCGTCGATCGACACGCTGAAGCTGAAAGTGAAAATTTCAAAATGATGATTTTGAATCTACGGATGAAAAATGAACTCTGAAAACAATATCAGTACTGTTTTTATCAGTAATGTTAAGAGGGAATAAAAATAATTTTCGACAGAACAACTGAATTTAATGATGCAAAATTCAAATAATAACAAAAATTTAGTCCAGTTTTTCAGGCTCTCAAAATTTTGACATATTAGTAGACTTTCACGTCTTTAGCACAAAAAGCTTCAATAAATAAATCGCTAAAAATTTGTAAACCTAATTACGACATTTGCTTAATCAAAAGGATAAATATACAATCATACTGAAAATCCCAAAATTCAGTTTTGCAAGTTCAATAATTTTTATACCTCTTCATCCATAAACATTATGCAACAGCAACTTCGCACAATGTAAATAATCAAACCAGCCAATGAAATGATTATTAGTACAATTATTACCGCATACAGTACCACAAGCCATTCTCGGGTCGTTAACCCAACTAAATCCCAGTAACTACAATTGACCCCTGACACTATCATTTTAACAAGTTATTTAATATTTTTTGTATATCAATCTAAAAGTTTGAAAATGCAGGTTTTTCATTGTAACATCTCTATGTATAAAAGGCATGCAAAGTCTCTACCAGCCAGTGTTAATTACCTCATGTCAGATGTAAATTAATCCCTCGACCGCCGCTCAACAAGAGTAAAATTATAGAAAATGCTCGTGCTTGCATAAGTGACTCAGTTAAAAGACTGCTCTTCTTGCTTGTTTAATTTTCAAAAATGCGAAATAAGTATTTGTCCAAATCTCGCAGAAAGTGGATTTGCAGTGCATAGTTTTTTCATCTTGTAATCCTCCTGACCTTTCTCTTCTTTTCCTACCATAGCTGACCTTAGAATATATATTATGCCCTGTGAAACTGACCTTTAAACGTAATATATTCTTTAAAGTAGAAGATAAGGCCAATTATCATAGGAAAAAAACTCAAATTAAAACTTGAAACTGCATGTTGAAATGGCTTAAAAAATCGGATAAGTCAGATTCTAATCAATAAAGCCAAAGAGATGTGAGGAGAAGCAGAGAGGACGGAAGAATCAAACGGTACGAAGAGAATCAGAATGTGAGAAAAAATAAATTAAAAAATAGGTCAAAAGAGTGAGTGAAATCGGTCGGAGGAAAGGAAGTAAGCGCAATACGAAATATAAGGCTATTGTTGTACTGACTGTTACAGAAATACGTCAGAGCATACAGTAAATGGCGTGAGTGACGGAAATGTGCCTCCGTCCTATGGTAGGGGTAGGGTAAGGTTGGTTTTCATTTCTTTCATTGCAAGCTATCAATGATGCGTATAAATCATTTAGGTTGTTGCTAACTCAGAATTTTTCCTGCAAGGTTTCTACGTTCGCTGTATATCCTTTCATTAGAAAATATATACCGTAAAAGTTTTTTTCTTAGAATTTGCTAATTTTTGTATTATTTCTGTTGCTGACTTTTCATCTGACTAAAACTTGACACACACAAAGTGGTAGTAATTGTTGACATTTCATGAATGACATCAGATAGCTTTCTTAATATCTCTGCGACGTGTACGTTAGAAAATTGGCAGTGCTTTACTTTTCTTATTCTTAATGCTAATTTCAGACTTCAACTTTCAACATCGATAATCCTTGATAAATAATGATGGTAGTGTGTATTGATCTTGTCCAGACGACAAAGATGCTAGAAAAAACTTCTGCTAGTGATTGATAATTATTAATAATACAATAATACAACAATAACTGCTTGTTAACCTAGTCGCAATAAATATCTGTGATGACTGCTCTTAGTGAAATACCAATATTATATAATCTTTTTGTCATTATTTTATTAATATAGTCAAAGAAAATTCACGCCTAAGCTTAAATTCATGTGTGAATGAATTCGTTTTATCTTTCTGAAAAATTTATTTTGGATCTACTCCTATTGATTAGCTTATGTTGATTAGCTTTTAGTTGTTAACTTGTTGCTATACTAAAATCTAAAGCTGTGTACAAATCTTTGTCGTTTGAATAATAATTTTTTTAAGGAATGTGAATAATAACTAAAAAATACCGTTTTTCACAGTCGTGGAATTTTAGTTAAGTACAAAAAGATAGTTTTGGTCTTAAGTAATTATCAAATTTGTTTAAGTTATCAGTTATCTTACTTTTGAAACGACGTTGCTCATGCATCGATTTAATCATCCATCATCTTTAACACGACTGACGGCTAATACTGATTGGAGAGATCCCTCAAATAGTCAAACATTACCGAATAGTAAGTGAGCAGCAGTTATTTTTTTAGTCTTAATGGTGACTGATATGTCTATTTTTAATAAATAGCTGGTAATATGCATTTTGGAAGTTTCGATCGTTTGCAGTTTGTTTTCAAAAATTTTAGTCAATTTCAGGGAAAAAAAAATTATTTTGAATTAAATATTCAAATGAGTGATTACAAGGTAGCAATGGTTATTGTGTTATAGATAAAGTACCTGTTTGGTAATGATGTCATATTTCTTTATATTTTGTGAGTTCTAGCATTATTTGCATTTTTTAAGTTTTGAAGGTTTTGAATAATGGCATCAAATAATAATGCTGTTGAAGTTTGTATTTTTTAGTTCTTATGCATCAGACAGATACTGTGAATTGTGTTGCTTCTGGTAGAGAGCAACATGTTACCTTGGATGAGGTATATAAGATGTCTCAAGAACAAAATAAAGAATATCGTTGGAAACGTGCCTTTCAAAGTTCGTTTCTTGTTTTAGTATTGTGTTAATAACCTTTCAGAAAATCGTGCTTTACTCTTCCAGGCTGTTATCATTCACTATTTTCATTATTGATTGTAGAATCATATCTATAAGAAATAAGGACATTTATTTTTTAGTTCCGCCTGTGTTGCATTTACTCCCAGATCGCGCAACTTACATGGAATTATCATCAGAGGTTCAAAGTATGAATGCGCTTACTTTAATTGAAGCATGCTACAAATCAAGACTTACTTATGAAATCTGGTAATGAAAGTTAAGTGTTTTTTATTTTCAGGAAAAATTCATCATTGGGTGCAAGTTGACTGCGATGAAACAGCTGATGATTTGAAATTATATGCACAAGATTGCATTAAAGCTGTAATGATATATATTTTTTAAATATCCTCAGTTAATAATTTAAAATTCTCAAGGTCGTTCTCGAGATTTTTTTGAGGATCATATTTGGACATTTGAATCCTTTAAAATAACTTTATTCGAATGTTTTGCAGCTCGATCCTATTACCATGAAACCTTCAGTATCGAGAAAGAGGAAATCGGCTGTTACAAATAAGAATAATGCTTTGAGTGATATAAGCAATGTTCTTAATGTTAGCTATAAATTTATCTGAAAATTCATGTTTTGTTGTTTACTAACATAAAAGTCATTAAATACTGTTTCTTTGATAAATTGAGTTTCAGTAAAAAATTTTATTTACAGGAAATGCAACTACCGAGTAAAACGCAAAAGTCTCGCAGGAAAAAAACAATTCCAGAAGTGTTTGGCATTTTGGTTCCAGATAATACTGAAGAGGCAAGCCCCGGTACATCCAGACAAAATTACTGCAATAATCAGTCGACATTTTTACCATCAACTTCTTCATGTGGATTTAATTTTAAATCTGTCTCCGATAGCAAGTTACGCTAAAATTTCAGAATATCAAAATATTTGCTTGTTTGTTTGTCTGTTGTGATAATTTTTGTTCTATATTTTGGTTGAAGAGATACGTTTTACAGTTTTAGAAATTCCGTTTTATGCTGTTTTACGATATTTGTTTTGCGTACTTGTTTCTTGTATTGTTTTACGTACGTGTTTCTGGTATTGATATTGCCAATAATTTTTTTGGAGATTCCGATCAGTTTTTTTGATGTGCATGATGTGTAGATTGGCTTTTGCCTTTGACTGATATGTATGAATCTCTGAAATTAATTTTGTAAAATCTTTAATTTTTACTTGCGCTTTGCAGTAGCTTGTTTTATGGCTATGACATCTTGTGCATTACAATGTATTTATTAATTTCATATTATTTGTCAGAAATAAAATCATTTTTGCTGACATTTATTGTCCTGCATTATTACCACTACTACATTTTAATTAAGAAGGTCGTCTCTTTACAAATGCAAAAGTATTCCATATTGGGGCATAGTTTTACTTGCAGTTCTCATACATTAGTGACCATTAAATATGAGAAGGAGAAATGACGACTTTGCAGCACTATTCGTGGAAGTTTATTTTATGCATTACAGTCTAGTTCTTATAGAGTAAACGATTACGAAGATTGGGGTTATTTGTTTTCTAATAGGAAGAGCCTTTTGCTCGAGGAATTCTGTTGTATAAGTCAAGATTCTCTTAATCTTATGTTCTCAGAACTGATAGTTCCAGAAGGGATTTGTGCTTTCCAAACGGTTCGATAAATTCGTTTTCCTTTTATATTACGCTAAAAAAAACGTACGTAAGTTACTGATTTTAGCGCGCTGTACGAAGTATGCTCTAGATTTATTGAAAGCATCTTACGAGCTAATTATGCCACATTTATCTACTTAAAATTGGCTCTTCAAAAATTCATATTTTAATTTTTGTAAATTCAGTTCATGACAAAATAGACTGAAAAATTTGCAAAATTTCTTCAGTAAAATTTTTCGCATGAAAACGCTTAGCAAAAATAATAGTAAGTATATAGAAAAAATAATGCTTTCCAGAACTTTTATTTACAGCACTGTGATAGCTATATAAAATGACTTATTGCAAACAGATTTGACACAAAATTTTTAAATTTTGTGTCAAATCTGTTTGCAATAATTTTAAAAAATAGGTAATTTGATTTGTGAGGAGTTATTCTTCGTGAAGGAAACTTTTTGCTTATCAGTGACAATTTGTGTTATCATACTTTTGCTGAGATAGTGAAGAAGAAAGAAATATGAAGCAGTAATGGCTTTATGCTTTAGCACTCACCGCTTTTTCATCAGCAGTTTTGTTCCTTGCATGATTTATAGAAGTTTATCTTGCATTACTTTTATTATCAGTGCTCTTACTTTTGTGGTAAAACAAGCTAACAGCCAACTTGTTGGTCAAGGTAAGCTTTACTGTCTTGTGCTGATGTAAAATGCAAAATTCAATGCACTGTATGAAATTGATTGTATGATGATATTTTTTTATAATTGAAATTAACGTACAAAAAATACCTTTCCTGACTTCATCATAAAATATTCTTTTCTGAAATTTGTTGAAAGTTATCTGTTTTGAAAGCGCATGTTTCAGGCATACCTTGCACAAAAGAAGGTGCTTCCATTGACTTAGCTGACTTAACACGTGGTTTAGTCACGTCTCCTTGCTACCACTGCATGTGTAAGGTTTGCTTTTGTCATTTCTTGTATAATTAATAAAGTAAGCCAATAGTCAAGTTTCAAACAGCTTAAAATGTATGGTGTACTGTTATATTATTTTCTACGTTCTTTGATAGAGTGATAACAATTTTTGTGACATGAAAGTTATATGTAAGATATAAAAAAGAAAAAATCACCACAATTTGCTTCGAATACCTGAAGAAGAATTGTGATTGTTTGCTGTTGAAATGAGCTAAAGTATCATCTACACATTTCTGAAATTTTGTAAATAATGTCGTATTCACAAATATTGTAAGATATAAATCAAGTTTTTTGTTCATTTCAATTACTCTTGACAAGCATAACAAATATAAGTATTTTCATAGTTAGATTCAGCAGCTAATAATTCACTAATACAATTAGATTCAGCAGCTAATAATTCACTAATACAAGTAGATCGTTCACAAATACAAATACTATACTATCTATTTTTTACAAAATTTGCAATAATTTAAATCATGTTGCCGAATATTGCTTTACACAACTTTATTTGTTATTTTCAGAATGGCATAATCAGATGTAAATTAGAAAAGTGTGAGTCGCTGAAGAATTGTCCAACAGCTATGGATCGAACGAGCAGAAGTTGTTGCGTAAAATGTTTGCACTGTGTTTATTTAGGCATCAAACGAAGTAATAATCAAATTTGGGCAAGTACTCAAGACGCATGTATGCAAATATCGTGTAAGGTCACTTTTTTAAATTTATTTGTCTCTTATAATATTTTGATTTTAAACATCTTTATGATATAAAAATGATGAGTTGTTTGAGAGATTGGAACTTTTTAAAAATTTTTTATGACTAAAAGTAATCATCTTATTTTACAAGATGACTAATTTGTATATAATTAATTTTATTTATTAATTTGTTTTATTTTATATAATTAGGATATAATTCACGCTCAATACCACAATATTATTATGCGTTAGGGATATTTTGAGTGATTTAAGGCTGGTATCATAACAAGTTGGCGAATTCAGTGCGTCTCAAATTGTACAAATGGGCGATTCATAGCAGGATTTTGCTGCGAATTGTGTTTAACACCCATTGAATCCAAGGATCGGTGTATTCGATGTGACTTAGTCTTAAACCGGTGGTACCACTGCTATAAATTCACTTGTCCCGTATTGAATTGTCCAAAATCTCAACATGTAAAACATTCTAAAAGGTATGATTGCAGAATTACATTTATTTTTGTCAAAAATTTTGGAATATTCTTTAGTAATTTTATCTAAAAGCAATATTATTTTCAGATGCTGCCCAGAATGCAAAACTCACGCAATAGTTTCAAAATATGTGAATATAACAGTTTCAGGATGCATTTTTCGTGAATGGCACTATCAGGTCTATGATACATTTCGTGTAGATCCATGCACACGTTGTTCCTGCCAACCAGGAGGAATCATATGTAGAAGGTTTTCTTGCATATAAAAGTTTATTTTTTATTTTTTCATATATTGCTTTTGTAATTATTATTGCATTCAGTACCTCATTGTCCACAGTCTTGCAGATTTGTCTGTCCCGTCAAGAAGTGTGAATCGTCACGAATTTTTTATGAACCCAGCATTTGTTGTCCATTTTGTTATCCAAAAGGAATTCCATGTAAAAAAAGGAATAACAAAGGAGTTGAATTTTTAGTTGAGGTTAGATAGGATGAAATGGAAATAAGTAATATAAGTTGAAATGAAAATGGTTGTTCGAAGACTGAAGAATATGAAGCAAAGTAATAAGTGAAAGAATTAAATTTTCTTTAAAATTGTGTCAGTTTAAACATTTTGCAATTATAATTAAAGAAACTAAATTTACAAAAAGTGTCAACTACTGTTGTTGTATTGCAAAGTAATGAGATCTCAAAATTGATCTGACACTAACAAAGATTTGATCGAAAGGCAAACACCCTCAGAATAATACTGCTCATAACTGTTTACTTTGGTTGGAGCAGATTTAGAAAAAGATTGCATTTCTAATATATCAAACAGAACAGAAAAAATTGAGTTTCAGGACGGGCAAAAGTGGTCATCGGATAACTGCACGGAATGCTTTTGTGCTAATGGACGAATAAAATGCAAAAAAGTAGATTGCTTGTGGAAAGGCAAATGTCCACGTGGAAGACGTTTAAAAAAAGTGAATGGATCGTGTTGTCATGAATGTGAGCTAAGTAAATATTTAGGCTATAAATTATGAAAGTTCTAAGCTTCTTTAAAGTTCAAATAAAACTTTTTGCAGTTCTCTTAAATACTGATAGTAATCGTCGCCAAAATTATAACTTAGCAAGATTGATTCGATAATTATCATTTTATAAAGTTTGCTCTGTTTGTACAAGATTAATTAGCACACATTTGTTTCTACAATTTGTATTTTATAAAATACTTAATAAGGATACAAAAAACTGGTTTTTAGAAATAAAAATAATAGGATTCTTGTGGTGGTATTTTTATTATTTGATATGAAATCTTTGGCTCAGTTTTCCATTAAATGATAAATTTTATAGAAGCATCAGCGACTTAGTAAAAAAATGAAGAATTATAATGCGTTGTAGATATAACATAATGTTACGACCAAAATTCATTTATAGAAGAAAGCTCCTGCATTGTATTTGGTGATCCACATTATATTACATTTGATAAGTTTGGATATTCATTTCAAGGTTTATGTAGTTATATTCTAACTCAGGAATGCTCGCTCAATGGGTACTAACTTTTAAATTCTGCTTGATTAGTTAAAAAACCGTTTCTATACTTGATACTGGTAAGAGTCATTAAGAAGTTTGTTGCATCATCACTAACAGTTATTCACCCAATTTTATAATGAAAAATCAACTAAATTTTTAGTACAGTGTTTCTTCGGGGTTGTTTTATTCCATGACTATAATTTTATGATATGTTTTGCTTTCTTAATTTTATGGCATGCTTCATATAACTATATTGATGAGGTTATTTATTCACAATTTAATGATTTGCAAATGAAATCATCATCAAGACCACTTGCAGGATTGATCCACAATTTACTGTAATAGGCGTAAATGATGGTAAAGCATTATTGGCGTGGACAAAACGCATAATTGTTCATATTTCTCTGTTCAATAGGACATACTTTACTTTACATTTGCTTCCAAAAAAGGTTTTGGTTTTCATCTTAACAGTGACTGTTAAGGCTCAAAAATAACAATTCAAATAAATAATAATTAATTCAGGTTATTCGTGAGCGAACGAAAACAATTAGCATTCCATATGTTCGCTATAGCGATTGGCCAGAGTATCGAGCTTACGAAGATTCCTCTAATGGACATGTAATTGTTTCCTTCAAGTTTCTTGGCCTGAAGATCATATGGGACGGAGAATCATTTGCTGAGATTATTTTATCTAAACGTCATCAATCCAAGGTTACCATTAATGATTTCTTTTAGTTCAATCATTTCTTAGACAGCTGTGATCATATTTCTAACAAAAACTGTTTAAACTTTATCAGTCGAAAAAATGTGATTTTTTCACCTCAGTAGTATAAAAACACAAGAATATTTTAAAATTAAACACACGGGTCACTAAATCTTTCTCTGAACTGCATCGAAAATTGTGCATACGAGGAGCTAAAATTTACTTACAGGTTTGTGGTTTATGTGGCAATTTCAATGATGACCCAAACGATGAGTTAATTCCACGCTACGCAAGCTCATTAAGTCATTCCGTGTCGCACTTTGTCCGATCATGGGAATATGATACCGCATGCACACAACACCATCGCAAAAAAATCGAGAATGATAGATACAGAAGAAGTGTTTTACTAACAAATTGACTTCTAGATGAAAATTTCGATCTATAGACCATTTTAAAGATGATTTATTGCAACAATATTAATAAATTACATGTTATTTACATATTTTATCTTTTATCATCAAAGGTTCGGTAGTTATATGCTTTGCATTAAGAATAACACTCATAAGTAACTTAATTTCAGTCCTGATAATAAAAGTCATCAAGTTATGATCAATTTATTAATGAGTGGATGTTAAATAGATATAAAAATCTGTATATGAAAAAACTCTGGATTAATATTTCGTACATACAAGGCTATTGTAAAGTTCTTATTTTCTGTAAGAAAATGAGAAGAATCATTTGGTCGTACTACGCACTGTTTCTATCACAAGAAAGAATGCAGAATTTTTTAAAAACACATATCTGTGTTGAATATTCTGATCATGTTCTATTTTATTTTGATATGAAAATAGTTCATTTTCACTTTGTTCTTTTGCTTTTGGACTGCTTAACTGAGTTAGCAGTTATATTGTATTCCACACTTATATATATAATTTACTTACGAAGTTTGAGAAAGAGAATTCCTCACTAGAAGACATAGTTTTGACAAATCATTATATTGTAATTTGTATACGACATTAATACTAATTATAGTGTGCAGGGTACCAAGCCATCGTAATATAGGTAGATTTTTGACATTCAGTGATATGTTCTGAGAAATTCTACTTTAATAATTTTGAAGCCTCTTTAGTACTCCAAAGATATATAATAATGACAGAAAAAAAAGTGTTGAAAAATATAATAAGAAAAAATGCTATGATCATTACCATTTTGTCTTGAGCACTAAGCGTCAAAATAATGCATATTTAGAAAAGCTGAAAAAGATATCAGAAATTGATAGTTCAATTTTGTGAATCACAATGATAATTAGATAAAAATTTATAGTATCAAAAAAATGTGTTGCATAATATAATAAGAAAATTAGTACTGGGCAAGTCTTCAGAACATAGGTACCTTTATTAAATTAAAAAAAATACGTCAAGAATTCAAGAATAAATCCCTGAATTTGAAGTAGAAACTCCAATATGAAATGTCGATTCATTTCTGTTAATATATTGACGACCCTAATATTTCTCGCCATTATATTTTCCAGCACAATTTTTTGATATTATAATTAAATATAACATTAGCACAGAAAAGCTACTTTACAAAATTACAAAAGGATAAATTCCTGATCTATTTTCGATGTTATATAAATGCATGTAATCTTAAGGCCCAAAACCATTGTATTCCTCTCCTATTGTATTTTCCAACACTTTTATTTGATAATATGACTGGATATAAGCACAGTATAATAAGTGTACGTCACAAATACAAAAGTGTAAATTTCTGATTTCTCTAACGTTATAAAAATGCTTATGTTCTGAAGGCTTCGTGCTCAAGACAAGTATAAATGACGCATATATATTTTCTTGTTGTATTTCTGAGCACATTTTGAAACAGTGATGGTGGAGTAGCAATCGTGTCCATATATTCCTTTCTTTCTCACGCAAAAAGATTTTTCAAACAAGTTGGTGCAGGAATTTTTTCATCACTTCCGACCGGAAATCTTTATCTCTTGAGATTCCTCTTGATAAGTACAGGTACATATCCAGGGAAGGTGTGTACACGTCACTCACGTTTTTGCCTGTACCGTTCAATAACATATGCCTGCGCACATCCCTTTTTCTCCGTGGAAAAATAAAAATTATGACGTGGGAGTGTCAGTCATTTGTACTTGCACACTTACTCTTCTTTTTCTTTGCTTCTGCGATTGCGATGTTTGTCAGAGTGGCAGACAACAACAGCTGTGGGCGTATTACAGTTTATGAGAGAGAAAGAGAGAGGGAGAGATGGCTCATCCACCTACCTACCATTGTTGTCGCGGAAGCAGTTACTGGCTGGTCTGTCTACTTCTGTCTGGTGATGCAGCAGGACTTCGTACCTTCAGACGTCTTTGATTGATTTTCTCTGCTGGTTTTGTGATAATAAATGTATTCTGTTTGTGAAGGTTTCCTTGATTTCTGATGAGCAGAAGTGAAGGAAATTTTGTTGCTTAATTTAGAATTTCTAAGATGGATGTTGTGAGGTTGTAGTTTTTGCTGAAGGCCAGAATGAAAGAAGCGCTCTTACAAATTCAGACTTCAGACTTTTAGGTAGTGGGGTAGGACTGAAGTGCAGACTGCATTGGAGGTAATCACTCGATATCACAAGATTAGTCCGGCCGCACCTTATTATGAAATTGATAGCGGTTTCGATTCTCTTAAATTATTGAGAAAAGGAGTCATTGGGCGGATATGCCAGCTCCTTAATTTTTCCCTGCGATCTTTCTGTGATAAGTTTAAGAGGAGATTTTGGATGTGCCAACTCCTGATTTGGAAGATCGCAGTGTGACCTTTCTTTGGATCACATCCTTTGCAATGGATGTGGTCTTAGGACGGTTTTGTGCTATGGTTTGATTATTTCTAGGTTACTGAAGATGTTTTCATGTAGTAGAATTATTGACTTAACGTTGTGACTGAATTCTGGCCTTTACTGTTATGAGTGTCAGTTTTGTATAATTTGCATATTTCAAATATTCTGATCTCTGTTTCTGCTTTTGTGTAGGTTGTTCTGGATGATGAAGAAGAAAAAATATGAAATAATGCAGAAAAAATGAGCCATAAAAAAATGAAAAAAATGAGGAAGAAAA